GCCAATCCCGTTCCAGCATCAGCAGTCTAGAACACACTATGGATACCTTGCGTTAACTACGCAGACTGCCGCTGATTGCCAGAGCTCCTGAAGGTAGCAGAAATTTCACTATACCAAGCCTTGATGAACTCTAGGTGACCTTGTAACCATTTCCACCTTAGTCATGGGGGAAAGACTTCCATTGGTGATTTAGCAGAGGGATTCCATCATGCTAAGAGGTAAGGATGTGAATGGCCCAAACAAATGGCTGCGATTGGTCCAAACATTGGACTGACACACACAGGCTGCCCCGCCCACTCGGTGAGTTGACTGAGATGGGCTTATATCTCCTTACATGTGGAGGTCACAGGACAACTTTCGGGAGTTGGTTCCCCGAGACTGGATTCAGGTCTTCAGGCTTGGCAGCAAGTGCCCTGACCAACGAGACATCTCCGCAGCCCTACTGCCAAATTTGTAATAGAAAACTAGCCTGGCGGTGGTGGCGCACGCCTTTAATCCCAGCACTTGGAAGGCAGAGCCAGGCGGATCTCTGTGAGTTCGAGGCCAGCCTGGTCTACAGAGTGAGTTCCAGGACAGTTCCAAAACTACACAGAGAAACCCTGTCTCGAAAAAAGAAAAACAAAAGAAAAAGAAAACTATATTCTAGGCCAGGCTTGGTGGCTCAATCCTGCAATCCTAGAATTTAGGCCAGGCCAGAAGTATCTCCATGGACTACACATAGCAAGTTCCAGGTGAGCATAGGCTACAGAGAAAGAGTCTTTCTCAAAACACACAGAATGAAAGAAGAAAAAAAAAGACAAGGAAGAGGACAGGAGAAGAAAAGAAAGGAAGGTAAAGGTGGAGGGAGAGAAAACTACATTCTGAGCATGACTATAGCAGACTTGCTTTTCTGACAGCTGCCTAGTACTCCCCTCCATGGCGTCCAGGCCGTTGGTCTTTAAGGCCTCAGCCAAGGGTTGTATCCTCCTCCGTGTGGATATGGGAAGCAGAAGAGGCTGCCAAGAAAAAATCAGTCCCATGTAGGGAACAAATAGCTAAAACAAGGCCACACCCTATATGTTGTTGGAGATTGCCTCCCTAGAAAAAAAAATTAGATATTTCCAAACTCCACCATCTAAGGGAGAGAAGGGACTTTGAAGGGAAATGGAATCTTGGAAAGCAAGGCCTTCTTTGGTTCTGGCCCTCTGGGGCCTGAACTTATTTAATGGATTTAAAGTAGCTTGGGATTGCTCCCTTCCTTAAAACCATGGCGCACACCCTGCTGCTGTTAATAATTTATCACAATTTACAAATCGTCTGTAATCCAGCCTTGTCTTCAGTAGCCTCCCTCCTCCGTCGCAGGGAGGGCCAGCAGTGCCTTGCACAGAGCGTGCTGCGCCACCCCCTAGACTGCAAAGCCCAAGTCCAGTTACCTGGCTACCCTACAGCTCGGCCCTCTGAATGAGGCTAGGTGGCGCTCTTCCAGGAAGCTGCCCTTGACCCACGCGGCTGTCGTCCGCCGCTGTTTCGGGCAGTTTGTTGCCCAGTGCTTGGCACATTTTATTATAACTGCTCATGTCCTTGCCTACCTCGTTATGAATCCGCTTTTCAGATACAGGGACTTTGTCTTCGTGGTCACCCCCCCCCCCCCCCCCCCCGGGCTGAGTTGCTCCCTAATGGACTCCATTCCAAAGGCACGGTGTTAGGCAGGAGAAGGGGGCCGCTGCCACGCCCTCTCCTGACCTGGAACCTTCTCTGTCACCTCGTTTGGCCACGAGTGCTTTGTCATCACTCAGGATAAAATGAAATCAGACACAGGAAGCCTGCGTTTCTGTAACTCTGATGAAATCCTGCAATTCCAGGCCTCCTGCGTCCTCCCACCTACTCGGTAAAACGAGGGAACAGTACGAATGAAAGACGCCAGGGGGCGCGCGTGGGCCAAGAAGACACCAAGACACCAGTGTAAAGAAGTCAAATTCCCATTTCGTCACATTGCTCTGCCATTGCTCAAAACCCAGCAGCGGCTTCCCATTGCCTAACTTACCTTGAAATCCAAGATGTTTCCCCATAACCTAATCCTGCCGCGTCTGAACGGACCCTCCTCCCTGGTGAATTTCTACTTAGCTATGTAACTAACACACTCTTCATTGAACACTACCGGTTCACCAAGGCTGGGTAGGGTAGCCCAAAATTTCTCCTGAAGTAAGCATATAACGGGAACGACTGTAGGCTTGCTGTGAAAATATAGCCACAAGGCAGGGCACCCGGCCTCCTCACTTGCCTCCTAGCCAGAGAGCTGCCTGGAAACTCTGTAACCCGGCCCCAGGCTTAGTAGGCCCCCAGACCTTAACCCAACCGACTCCATGATGGGAAGTGCCACCCAGGCTGTAAAACTCGGCAAGCAGACAGTACCACCTGCCAAAAATAAGAACAAAGAAATAATCCACCAGAGTCCATCGTTCTAGGAAAGTCTCCAACTGGACTAACCTTGCTTTTCGGCTTCCGAAGTCCCGCTTCTGGCTAACTGTTCTTGTTAACTGAAGTATGTCAACCCAGAACATGGTTTTTGTGCTTAAAGCTCACCTGAGAAAGGCTCAGGTCTACACTGGGTGTTCGGGATCCCAGTGTAGTCACAGGCCGGCTAATAAAGACCCATGTCTGATCAGTCTTCTCTGATTATTACACACACACACACACACACACACACACACACACACACACCCACCCCCTATCCCCCCACCCCCTCACCAGAAGACACAGAACTGCAGCTGGGCTGAGGGCGCCTTGCTCTCTGCCCTTCCTCTTGGTTTCTCTTTCGGATTTGTTTGTTTGTTTTTAAGACAAGGGTGTCACTATGTTCTTTGACCAGCCTCCAACTCACAGAGATCCACCTGCTTCTGCCTCCCAAGTTCTGGGATTAAAGACAGGCATGCACCACCATGCTAGGCCATTTTGTTTTGGAGACAGGCTGTCATGTAGCCCGGGACAGACCTGAGATCCTGATCTTCCTGCCTCTGCCTCCCAAATGCTGAGGGTTTACAAGTATGTGTAATCCTGCCTGGCTTCCTTCCTCCCCCTTCCCTCTCTATGATGGTGCCATTTCCCCTGCCTGGAATGGCCAGCTCTTGCTTTTTTTTGAGACAGGATCTTGTTATGTAGACTAGGCTGGCTTCCAACTTGCAGCAACACAACAGGCCTCCCATTTCTGTTTCTCAAGTCCTGGGACTACACCCCACTGACACACACACACACACACACACACACACACACACACACACACCACCCCCACCCCTTCTTCTACAGCTGATCTTTCATTGACACCTCCAGGTTTCCAGAAAGACTTTCCTGGCTGGTGGAGGCCTGAGGACAAGGCTCTGACACTCCCTGTTCTAACTCCTTGTTCCAACCTCCTTTCAGTTCCACAGGGTTCAGCTTTTAATTCAGCTCTCCTCCTTCTGCTGGAGTTCAGAGGTCTAGGAGCTAGAGAAACTTTCCTTCAACTCTTCACGGCTTGCTGGGAATGTAGCTCATTGGTAGAGTACTCACCGAGCACTCATGAAATCCTGGGTTTGATCCACAGCATCGCATCAAACAAGCAAGGTGGCACATGCCTATAATACCACGGTATCAGGTCTGGAAGACCAGAAGTTCAGAAGTTCAAAGTCATCCTTGGCTACATAAAAATAAAAAAAAAAAAAAAAAAAAAACAAAGAAAGAAAGAAGAAAAACAAGCCAGGCAGTGGTGGCACACGCCTTTAATTCCAGCACTCCAGAGGTGGAGGCAGGGAGATCTCTATGAGTTTGAGGCCAGCCTGGTCTACAAAGTGTTCCAGGACAGCCAAAAAAAGAAAACAAAAACAACCAACCAAAAATATTTTTTTTTTCAGTTTCTCAGGCTAATTTAGAAGTTCTGACAGAAAACAAAAACCCTGAGGATGTAGCTGAAGGGACTGTCACCGTCCTTCCCTGTGGACTCTCACTCAGCTCTGCACCTGTGCCCTTTTCCTCCTGATGGCAGGACTGATTGCTAAATATCCGTATGACAAGGGACAACACTACTCCAGGCCCTGGTGGGCTTCCAGAACGGGTCACCCTTATTCCATGAAAACCAAAGCCTGCGATGTGACCATTTCATGGGACTCAGACTGCTCCCCTCAATCAACCGTGGGATGCCAACTTCTCCAGACCCCCCATCCGCCACCCCCCAAGAAGCATTCAGATCATAACCCACCAATGGCCCAATGAAGCGCACTGGCTCAGACAGCCCTGAGCTATTACTTTCTTTTCCTAAAAAATAAAAGTCCCAGGGTTGGGGATTTAGCTCAGTGGTAGAGCGCTTGCCTAGCAAGCACAAGGCCCTGCGTTGGATCCTCAGCTCAAAAAAAAAAAAAAAAAAAAAAAAAAAATCAAAGTCCCTATCAGCCCTTTGAGACACACAGAACTTTCAGATGTGGCCACCTTGAGTAAACCTCTTTTCTCTCTCTGTCCTTCACTTTTCTTTTCTTTCTTTTTTATTTTATTTATTTACTTATTGTTTTTCGAGACAAGGTTTCTCTGTGTAGCTTTGCGCCTTTCCTGGAACTCACTCTGTAGACCAGGCTGGCCTCGAATTCACAGAGATCCGCCTGGCTCTGCCTCCCGAGTGCTGGGATCAAGGGCATGCACCACCACCGCCCGGCTATTTTATTTTATTTTTTTAAGTGAGAGTGGGAGAAGGTTGACACAGGGTTTACTGTGTAGCCCAGACTGATCCCTAATATAAAGTCATCCTCCTGCCTCAGTCTTCCAAGTGTGGGGATTACATACATGTACTACCCCAACCAGCTACACTTATCACTTTAGTTGGTTTATTGAAATAATGTGTCTACTCTGTGGGTATTCCCAGAGTGGGACTTTTGCCAGAAAACTCTAGTAATATACTTAGCACCACTGAAATATTCACTTTTAAATGGTTAAATAACTTTGTATTGTGTGCATTTTTTTTTTTTTTTTTTTGAGACTGGGTCTCAGCATCCCAGGCTGACTTCAGATTCACCTTGTCAGCTGAGGATGATCTTGAACTTCCTGCTCCTCCTCTCTACCTTCTAAGTGCTGGGATTATACACAGGAGTTAAAAACATGCACTTCAACACAATTTTAAAAAATGATTCTATCAGTCATAAGCTATGTTACTTTAGGTCCTGTAACTTTTGTTTGAGACAGGGTCTTGAATTTTGCCCAGACTAGCCTCAACCCCCCCACCTTAGCCTCCCAAGTACGGGAAAAGCATATGCCTGCACCCTGAGCATAGTTTCCTCTGAAAGTTTCCCGGCACCAGGTTTCTCTGTGTAGTCCTTGCTGTTCTGGAACTCAACTTGTAGACCAGGATGGCCTGGAACTCAGAGATCCCCTGCCTCTGCCTCCCGAGTGCTGGGATTAAAGGCGTGGGTCACCACTGCACCGCTAAAAGGTTTTGTTTGTTTGTTTTTTAAGTTAAGGTCTCACCATAGAAGTCCAGGCTGGCTACCAACCTCGTATCTCCATTTCCTAAATGCTGGGACTACAGGCCTGTTCAGGCGAGCTGGAGGGCGAGCAGGCAACCACCTTTTGTCATTTTCTGCTGTTAAAGATCAAAATAAACATGGGTCACCACAGCGGGGCCCCGAAGTGAAAAGTCCTAAGCTGTAAAGTCTTATGTAAATAGGGGTAGCGCAGCTTCTTCCCTCCCTCGGAGCCCTGTCTTCTCTCCTCGCTTGAGGTTAGCGGCTATAAATAGGTAGGAAGCTGTTCTCAAGGCTCCCAGTCCCCTCACTGCCGGAGTTCTCAAACTGCTGGAGTGTTGGAGACCTCACGGCTTCCAGCTGGACAGGCGCTCGAAGGGGAAGCGGCACCTTCCCTTCTGAGCCAGTTTGGGTCCAAATCCCGTGATCTCTACATTTGGAGTTCCTTGATGGCCCAAGCCATCAGGGTATGTCGTATGGAAAGGCTGCAGGTCGACCTTGACTGTCTCCTTTCTTCTCAAGTCTACTACCTTAAGGTCCCAGCCCCATCCCGTCTCTTTCTGGAAGCTGGCTGAAAGAGGGTGTACCCATGTCCTTCCGAGAACACAGTGGCCAGTAGACCCAGAACGTGATGTGTCCCGATTTCCCATAAGCTCCCCAACAGTGGACCAGCTGGTCTTTGCCTCCGGGACAATGCAATGTCAAACTTAAGCAGCAGCCCTCTGGGGACATTCCTCCCCCTGGGTGGTGGTATTTGGAAGAGCGGATATGAAACTCCCTAAGGGGGTAGGTATAAACTCTCAGCATCCGGCCTGGGGCCCGGCATCCTTTTTTCTCCAGATCTATGCTAGGGACCGGGAAGTAGGATGAGGGTGTGAGCCCAGAGGCTACGGATCTAGGACTCCACTAGGACAGGACTTGCTCCACGCGGAGCTGCAGAGCGCCCGCCGCCCGGGACCCGGGTGCCTGGGCAGAATCCCGCCCGCGGGGTCCCACTCGGCCCTGGACCCTAGGGCACAGCCACACCGCTGCACCATTCTCCCCCGGGATCTGCCCCCGCCCTTCGCAGAGGGGTGACCGGACCGACTGAATCACCGGGCGCGCTGGGAAAGACTCGGAGACCGGATTCGGGGTTTCCGGAGAATCCCATAGTCCCCCTCCCAACTCGACCGAGCAGCCTGAGCATTTTTGGTAATGTTTGGGTTGGTGAGCACGGCCGGATGCCCCGCCTCCCGCTCCGCATCCCCCCCTGGGCAGGACCTCGGAGCCCGGGGCTGCAGCAGCGCCTTCCCGCCCCGGGAAGAGATCCTAGGTTCTGCGTAGCAGCCGGCAGGTGGACTGCACCAGGACAGACCCCTAGGGTCAGAGGTGACCAGAGGGCCAGACTGTGGCCTAAGTATTCACAAGGGCTGAGAACAAGGATGGAAGGGCCGTGACCTCTGTCAACAAACCCCATCCACTACCGCTTTGTTGGTTTTAAGGGTTCCTAGTCTCTAGGAAGTATCCAGAGTCGTTCACATTTACTCCCACCCCACCCCACCCCCAACACTACCGCAAGGAAGGGGCCAAGAGAAGAGGCCGAAGCTCCCAGGGGAGTCCTGGAATGTTGGGATCCTGGGAACGGACCCAGCAGTCCATGGGAAAGCCAGGCGGTGGGAATCCCACCATCCAGCCCCCTCCCCAGGATGAACCACCGGATGCTACAGACCCCAGCTCCCCAAGAGCGGGGTTTGGGCCTGTGGAAGTCCCCACCCTAGACTAAGTCCCGAGCAGCCCTAAGGTTCAGTAGGGCAGCTGTGACGCCGACGCCCCTCCTCCACCCTGCTCCAACATAATCCTCCCCTTTGTGTCTCTCACCCCCCCTCCCCCCCTCCCGTGCCTCCCCTCTCTCCGACCCCTGCACAATAGAGCCTTTTGCCGCCTCCAGGGTGGAGATGAACTCACGGTTTTTCCAAGTTTAAAAATAGCTCCTCCCACCACCCCCCCAAAGCCACCATCTCCTTCTCCCATGCTGCTGTTGGTGTGCACCCCAAAACAGCCTGCACCTCCTTCCTCCTGCCCTGGGTCAGGTGCGGAGGACATGAGTGAGACTTCGTGTCCGGCCAGAGTAGAGACGGCTTCCCTCCATTCAATTTCTTCCCCCACATCTTCCACCCACCCCCCAGTATCCGGTTTCCTGGCTTGATGATGTCCTCAACAGCAGTTGACCCCCACCCTCCACCCACCCTGATTTTCACTCTGCACGGTGTCCTCCCAGAGCAGATCCCCTACTCTGCAAAGTCTCCTGCTGACCCTCCAGGATCCTGTTTTCTGGCCAGGCTGGGGGGGGGGGGGAGGTGGTTCCCCAGCCTCTACAGATGCCAAGGTTGCTGCCTACCCCCAAGCTCCTCATCACAGCTGCAAGCATGTCTTTATCCATTTCCTTCCTCGGCCCAGCCCACCCTTCCCAGCAAGGAGGTGGGGCATCCTTGTCTTTTTACCTCCAACTCGACTCTTCCCCACTTTAATAAGGAATGGAAAACCCCAACTACATGGGGAGGCGGTAGCTGACAGGACATAGGATGGGGCCCACTCCCCCACCCAGCCTCAGTGTGCCTCACCATAGTGTGCCACCTCTCACCTTCCTCTTCTGTTCTCATCTGGCTTCACTCCTGGTTTACTGGAAGTCCTGATGCGCTGTTCCCTGGTGTCTTAGACGAGCTGAAGGCCCCACATCCACCCACACTGAGCCCTGTGCTCGCCCTTCTCATTCATGGCTCTTTGAGTCCTCTCCGGGGTCCTGACCCGTCTCTGGTTTGGAATTTCAAAATGCCCCCTTCACAAAAACCATCCCTAAACTGTGTGTCCCTGATCTTTCCCTGCCAGCCTGAGGCTCCGGGCAGCTGCGGCTAACACTGCTGCTGCTTCTTTCATCTTAAAAAGAATTACTATTCTTTTTCCTTTCTAATCTTTAAAAAATACCTTATTGGGCTCTTTTTTGATAAAAACCCGGTACTTGTAAGGCAAGATAAGTGGGGTGTGCTCTCCCGGTGTTGTCCAAACCACTCTTGAACTCAGGCTGGGAGTCTGGAAGTAGCTGACTACAGCTCGGGTATCCGGGTATCCACCGGTCAGCTAATGCTGTCTACCTGGCACATAAATGTGCCGGTATCAGGGTCTTGTGCTTTTGGTTTTTCCTAATAAGCTAACAGCTGCGGGCATCTGTGTCACCAGAAAGATCAAATTCTCAGGACCTGCCCAACTTCAGACAGAGATCATCCTTTGTGGCCCCAAAGTCCAAGCAAGCAGGAGACAGGGCTTTGTGCACCCGACACGGAGTGAGGGTGAAGGCGTTGGCACACTAGGCATTGCCACCGTCCCAATAACTTAGGGGAGGTTCCACCAAAGGCGTCCTGTCCTCAGGGTAGTGCAGAATCCAGGTGAAGGGATGCCTGTCCCCGGAGAGTCTTCAGAGCTCTTCTTTGCAAATGTTAAGGTGGTGTCTTCAAAGCCCTCACAGGAAATGAGACACAGAAACAATGACGAGAGTCCCGGGGCCACTCATCTCTCAGAACCTGTTACTACATGGTCTGGCCCCAGGGGCCAGGTTTCTTAAAGTACAGTACGTTTGTTTGCTTTGGTATGTACACCCGGGAGGGACGGGATGTCACCCTGGGCTCTAATCTTATTTCCCGTCCACGGCAGAAATGACTCCGTCAGCCTCCACCTGGCATCAATCGAAGAGGAAGAATTGACTGTCCTTGGTGGTTAGCTGGCTTTGGATCCAGGCTGCCAGAAAAGAGAACGATACGTTAATGATGTGTGTGTGTGTGTGTGTGCATGCGTGTGTGTGTGTGTGTGTGTGCGTGTGTGTGTGCGTGTGTGTGTGTGTGTGTGTGTGTGTGTGTGCGCGCGCGCGCGCGTGCGCGCGCGCGCGCGCGGTGCAGCACTTAGCCTGTCTTGTCAAACAACATCCTTTAGCCATTGCTGCAGAGAAACATGTTTATCTTCCTATTGTGCTCTGGGCCAGGGGCCGGGGTCCATCACTTCACTCTGGGCGGTAGAGGCAGGACCCTCTTACTGTCTCCCCTCAAGGGCCTAAGCCAGCAGCCTGGCAGGCTTGGCATGGCTCTGGCTGGAGACTAATGGACAGGGAGGAGGGGTCAATGAGACTCTGAAAGATGAGGTTGATGTGGTTTGCCCGTCCTCTGAGTCATCAGAAGGCAACCAGAGCATTCTCTCAAGTCACCTGGCCGTCTCTGGTGCGTGCTGCCTCACCCTCCTCCAAGGCTTCTTGCTGCCTGCAGGGTCACAGACCACTACCCTAAACCCAGACCCCTGCGACTCCCTGGTGAGAGTCTCAGCAGGTGTGAAACCTTTCCTGAAGCTATGGTGCTGGGGTCTTTTTGTGTCTTAGTTTGAGAGTTCAAAAGACTCAGGGAGAACTTGGGGTTTGGACAGGGGAGGGTCCCTAGCTAGCCTCATGCTGTGTAGGAGACTGTTATCAGGGCTCTGCAGCTGATCCATATCTGACTCCTCCAGCCGCTGAGCCACGACCAGCAGTGTGAGAGAGCTGAGGATGGGTACAGCAGTAGGCAGGGACAGCTTTCAAGCATTAAGAGGAACAATAGGTTTCTGGGAGAAAGCTAGGGACTTCCACCTCTATTAATACAATACGTTTCTGGGGGCAAGCTAGGGATTTCCACATCCATTAATACTAACCTTTCCTCATTCAGGGGAGGGGAAACTGGGGTGGAGACCAGGTAGGAAGGCATGCAGAGGGTTGGAACAGAATTATCTGGGCCTGGATGTGGACCGTGGGCTTGTGAATTCAGCCCCTTTCCTCCCTTCTCGAGTGTAAGAGGGTCTTGCAGAAACTTGAATATGAAAGAACAACCTAAAAGGCACGGTTTCCAACCCCCCAGCCCCCCTTGACGGCACCTCTAGGTCTGTGGGACCTGGCACAGTTCTTCCTCCAGGGCTGCCAGGACAGCGGAGACTCTGGAGCTGTGCCAAGCCGGCAGCCGCCGCAGTGAAGCGGTGTTCTAAAAGGCGACCAGGGCCAGCTCCATGCCTCCAAAGCAGGGCAGAGGAGCCTGACCGGGAGGCCCCCATCAGGGACACCGCTCTCCTGTTCCTCTGCCAGAGGGTCCCCGGGGCTACACCCGCTGGTAGTGGCCAAACCCGAGTGAGTGAGCGCTGCTACTGCGTCCAGGACGGCTCTAAGACGACCGGGCCAGCTTCTTCTGCCGCCTCAGCCAGTTATTTGAGCCTCAGGACACCTGTCATTGCTCCCTCAACCTTTCCAAGCCAGGAGGCTGGGAAGCGGGAGTTGGCCTCCAGGCCGGGATCGGGGCGCAGCTCCCAGCCGGCGCACCCGGGCCCGCCCCCTAGGGCGCGGGGCGGGGGCGGGGGGCTGCGCGGGGCGGGGCCGGGCGGCGCCCGGGGTCCCCTCCCCCGCCCCCCTGACGTCAGCCCCCGACGGCCGCGAGCTCCTCACTTGGCTCTCTCCTTCCGTCGGGGAAGCATGGGGCTGCCCAGGCTGGTCTGCGCCTTCTTGCTCGCCGCTTGCTGCTGCTGTCGCCGCGCCACGGGTGAGTTGTGTGTGTGTGTGTGTGTGTGTGTGTGTGTGTGTGTGTGTGTGTGTGTGTCGGGGGATGGGGAGGGGGGGTCGGGGACCGACCCGGGTCTCGCAGGGCCCAGACGTTGGGAGTTGGGGGAGATGTCTTCGACGGAGCCGGAGTGTGCCGGAAATCAGAGCTGGCAGCAAGGCAGAGGCTCTGCACCCAGGCGGGCGCTTCTAGACCGAGTCCCCGATTCCCAGGCGCTCCGCGTGCGTGCAAGTTCTTTGCCGCGGGTTTGCAGCCTAGGTTCTAGAGTATTCTGGTAACGGACCCAGCCAGGAGGCTGCAGCGGCGAGCGGGAAGGGGTGGGGCCGAGCCTCTGCAGGATTCTGGGGCCGGCCTCCCGCAGGTGCTTGCTCTGGGTGCCCGGGCAGAGAGGCGCGGCTGGGGCGCATCCCCAACCCGTGCATCCCGTGCCCGCCTGTTGCTGGAAAAGGCTGTTTCCCTTGCTGGAGGGGGGCGCCGACCCCTCCCCCTCCGCCTGGGCCTCACGCCAGCTTGGAGGTGAGCGAGGGAGGAGGGCCGGTGGCTTCTGCTCCGGCTGGGCGTTGGCAAGGGCAGTGGCGGGTGGTGTGGGTCGCCTCGTGCCTCCCGGTTTGACGGGATCACAGGGGTACAGACGACGAGTGGAGTTCTACAATAGAAACAGCTTCTGTTAGAGACTAGAGTCCGATGAAGAGTGCCTGGGCACCTCGGAGCTTTTTTTTTTTTTTTTTTTTTTTGAGCCATCTCTAGACAGGCGCTCCTGGGTCCGGGCTTCCCTGGCATGGCCTGCAGCGGTGTTGGCGTGTTATTCTTGGCTCCTTATCCCGTCCCAGCCACTGGTCGGGCTGGGGAAGGGGAGGGCTGGGCATTACCCACTTCTCTGGCCTCTTGCCCAGTGCCAGCCTTGTCCCTGGGGTACTACTCCAGTCTAGTGCCTCCCAGTCTGACCTTATTTCTGGGGAAAGGGCTAAGCCAGCTAGGCAGCTGCAGCGCAGCAAACCCAGCCTCACTCTGCCCTGCGCTTCTGGCTCTCAGAAAACAGATTCCAAGGTTCCTGCTCTTGGTTGAAGACCACCCTACCTGCCCTCCAGTCTGGAAGCCACACAATCTAGGCATCCTAGTGTCCAGCCAGATTGTGTCCAGTGACATCACCTTCTCAAAGGGCTGGCAGCATGCTGGCACCACTGACGTCACTCCTGCCCACTCTTTGGTTCTTGGCCTAACCCCTGGGGGAGATTCTGACCCCTCTATACTTGGATGGGGTCTTCAGATTGTATTGCAGTGTTCCTTGACATGCTGCTTCAGGAGTATGAACCGTAGCCTCTGGCCCGGCTCACCGTGTCTTCCGGAGGATTTGGGGGGCAGAGGGTAGAATAGTGACGTCTTCCCTGGGGAGGTGGGGACACAAAGGGGCCTGTTGTGCCCCAGCCTGGCACATGCCTTGCATTCTCATAGTCTGAGCTCACCAGGACTAGGAAGGGGCCCAGGAGCAAAGGGGCCTTCCTCTTGGCCCATAGCCCATGTTCCCCTTATCGGTCTCTCCGCCAGTTTCTTTTAAGCAGTACCCCACAGTCACTCTATGTTCCAGTCCATATTCCACTGGGAGAGAACTGACCCAGGTTGGGGTGAGGGTACGGTGACCTTAAAGGTAGAGAGAGGACAGGGCCCTTTCCAGACCCTTAGAGAGTAGAACCGCTGCAGTGAGCCAGGAGAGGAGAGGGGACAGGACAGGATGGAGCAGTTGGAGCTGACAAGGCTGCTGGGCGTGCTCCTCCCCTTGCCCAGGTGTGCCAGGAGAGGAAAAACAACCTGCACTCACACCAGAACCCGTGGAGGTGGAAGTGGGCAGCACAGCGCTTCTCAAGTGTGGCCCCTCGCATTCCTCTGGCAACTTCAGCCATGTGGACTGGTTTTTGGTGAGTGCCTGGGCTTTGAAGGGCGGGCCGCAGTAGGTGGGAAGCGCTGTCCCTCAGGTGGGTAGCTCATCTCTCTGCTCCTTGCCCTCAGATTCACAAGGAGAGGCAGATACCCATTTTCCGTGTGCGCCAGGGCCAGGGCCAGAGTGAATCTGGGGAATATGAGCACCGCCTTAGCCTCCAGGACTCAGGGGCTACTCTGGCCCTGAGTCAAGTCACTCCCCACGACGAGCGGATGTTCCTGTGTAAGAGCAAGCGGCCACGGCTCCCGGATCACTACATTGAGCTTCAAGTCTACAGTGAGTGCCCCTTCATTCCTGCCTTCAGGGTAGTGTGGACCAGGTAAAGATGAGTTTCCACGTCTCTGTTCATTTCCCTTCTGTCGTAGAAGCTCCGGAAGAGCCTACCATCCAGGCCAGTGTCGTGGGCATCCATGTGGACAGGCAAGAGCTTAGGGAGGTGAGATGCTGCAGGTCAAGTGATGGTGAACGGGGCTAAGCTGGGGCAGAGGGGGTTGTCAGAAGCAAGGAGACTCCCATCCTGTCCTCTTTAGGTTGCTACCTGTGTGGGGAGGAATGGGTACCCCGTTCCTCAAGTCATCTGGTACAAGAATGGTCGGCCCCTGCAAGAGGAGGAGAACCGTGAGTAGCCCCTTACTACTTAGGCTCTGGAGGACCACCTAGCATGTTCTTTTAGAAATTTTATTGAAACAAACAGAAGAACCATACAGGTGATGTTGAATAATTCAGACTGTAGGCTCAGTTAAGAGCACTGGTTGCGTTTGGAGAGGACCCAGGCCAGTTCTCAGCATCCACATGACAGCTCACAACCATCCACAAGTCCAGTTCCAGGGAATCTGATGGCTTCTTTTGACCTCCAAGGGCAGAAGGCATGCATGCAGTACACACACACACTCATTCAGGCAAAACGTTAATACACATAAAAAATCGTTACAAAAATTCTGTACTTATTTACTTGTATTTTATGTATGAGTGCCTCTGAATGTATACCTGCATGCCAGAAGAGGGCATCAGATCCTATTATAGATAGTTGCTGGGACTCGAACTCAGGACCTCTCAAACAGCAGCCAGTGCTCTTAACCCCTGGGCCATCTCTCCAGCCCCTCCCCCGCCCCCCAAAAAAAGGTTGTTTTTTGTTGTTGTTTTGTTTTTCGAGACAGGGTTTCTCTGGGTAGTTTTGGTGCCTGTTCTGGATCTCGCTCTGTAGACCAGCCTGGCCTTGAACTCACAGAGATCCGCCTGGCTCTGCCTCCCGAGTGCTGGAATTAAAGGCGTGCGCCACCACCACCGCTCGCACAAAAAAAGTTTTTAAAGGATAAAATTTAGGCTATAAACAAGCTAGGAATTTCTTTCTGGTCAACTCCTCCCAGAAGTGACTGTTATTTTCTTTCATTCCTATTTCTGTGTCTATCACAAGTAAATGTTTGCTACAGTGTAGAGATTTTCATGTGGTGTTTTGAGACAGGAACCCATGCAACTCAGGCTGGCTTTTAAAACTGGTGATGCTCTACCTGTCTCCCAAGTGCTGGGATTCTATGCATGTACCACCACTCCTGGCTCAAGGCTTACATTTTGTATGGTTTTGGTTTGGCTTGGTTTTTCAAGACAGAGTTTCTCTGTGTAATAGTCTTGGCTGTCGTGGAACTCGCTTTGTAGACCAGGCTGGCCTTAAATTCACAGAGATCTGCCTGCTTCTGCCTCTTGAGTGCTGAGATTAAAGGTGTGTGCCACCCCCGCCTGGCAAGGCTTGTGCTTTTTACTGTCTCAACCAGGGGTGATTTTTGCATACATACCACTCTGGGGGATACTTGGCAGTGTCTGGGGGCATTAGTGGGTGTCACAAACACAGAGGCTGCTATTGGCATCTGGTAGGTAGAGGTAAAAAAAAATATAGCTCAGCATCCTAAAATGCACAAGGTGGCCCCACCACAAAGAATTAATTCTGGTCCAAAACATCAATAGTGCTGACCTGAAGAAGCCCTGACCTTAGTGGTAATTTGGGAACACATCCCTTTTTGTAATATTTCCAGGCCAGTCTGTTCAGATGGAGCCCATTTTGCTTCCTGTTGTCGTACTGAATATAATGCGGTTGTTACCATTCTCCTGATAGCACTTAATGTCTCAATTTTTCATCACTTTGGACTTGTGCTTTGGATTCTGAGGCTTGAACCTAAAGTCTTACACATGCTAAGAACATGCTCTACCACGAAGCCTTTGGCCTAACTCCATTTTCCTTTGTCTCTGGGGTGATCCTGGCACACATCCTTGTGTATGTGCTAAAGTGTAAATGCCTTTTTAGGGTAGACAGCAAGCAGTAAAAGTGCTGGGTTGAAGGGTTACCAGTTTGTATTTGGCCATGGGCCTCTCTCTCTCCCTTAGATATCTCCCTGCTGATCCCCAGGAGTAGCTTACGGGAGGGGTGCTGAGGCCAAGCCTTGCTTCCCCCCCTGCCCAGGTGTTCAGATCCAGTCGTCCCAGACTGTGGAGTCCAGTGGCTTGTACACCCTGCAGAGTGTTCTGAATGCACAGCTAGTCAAGGAAGACAAAGATGCCCAGTTTTACTGCGAACTCAGCTACCGGCTCCCCAGTGGGAACCGCATGAAGGAGTCTAAGGAGGTCACTGTCCCTGTCTTCTGTAAGTGTTGACTAGCTCTTCTGGTTTTGGGGGGTGGACCTGCTGGAACTTCTGCTGGTCCCTCTGCATCAAATTCAGGGCCAATTCTTGGGCTGAGAGTCTTCCACTTTGTCTGCACAGACCCTGCAGAAAAAGTGTGGATGGAGGTAGAGCCCATGGGACTGCTGAAGGAAGGAGATCATGTGAAAATCCGATGTCTGACTGACGGCAACCCTCAACCCCACTTCACCATCAACAAGCAGGTTCGGAGGGCTCCGTGCTGGGTGCATGGAGGGTGCACAAGGGTACAGGCAAAGAGGCAGACCCAGCAGCCGGAGGGCATCGGCTCACCCTCGCCCTTTTGTGCTCTCCCAGAACTCCAACACTGGGGAGATGGAGGAGGAGGCCACTGATGAAAATGGTATCCTGTTCCTGGAGCCTGCCCAGAAGCAACATAGTGGGCTCTACCAGTGTCACAGCCTGGACTTGGAAACTATGGCCCTCCTATCAAGTGACCCCCAGGAGCTGCTAGTGAACTGTGAGGCACTAGGATGGAGGTTCAGCCTGAGGCAGCGGGGAACTGGTGGTCCTGCCCAGGCTGACACTGTTGCTATGCCTCCAGATGTGTCTGATGTCCGAGTGAATCCAGCCGCCCCTGAAGCCCAGGAAGGCGATAGCCTCACACTGACCTGTGAGGCAGAGAGTAACCAGGACCTTGAGTTCAAGTGGCTGAGAGACAAGGTACCTGGATGGCTTTTGGGACTGTGGGCAAGAGCTTGCTTCTTCTCAGATCCCCTGACCCATCTCTCACCCCTAGACAGGCCAGCTACTGGGAAAGGGACCTGTTCTCCAGCTAAACAACTTGAAACGGGAAGCAGGGGGACGTTATCTCTGCATGGCATCTGTTCCTAATGTTCCTGGCTTGAACCGTACCCAGCTGGTCAGCGTGGGCATTTTTGGTGAGGCCCTTTGTATAGTGTTCAGGTCACCAGAGTTGGGTGCTTTTGAGCTGTTGGAGGTCAAAAAAGTTCGCTGGCACCCTGAGAACTGTGGTGGGAAGTAGAAGCAGGGTATTTGGGGGCCTAATCCTTTCCTCCCCCAAGGGTCCCCGTGGATGGTATTAAAGGAGAGGAAGGTGTGGGTACAAGAGAATGCAGTACTGAATCTATCTTGTGAGGCTTCAGGACATCCTCAGCCCCACCATCTCCTGGAATGTCAATGGCTCGGTGAGAAGGCTTGATTTATCTTCCCCATTCTCTTAATCCCTGCCTAGGCTTTGAGGCCATGGCCGGAGATCCTCCCACTCTGTAAGTTGCCCATTTACTTCCAGGCAACTGAATGGAACCCAGATCCACAGACAGTAGTGAGCACCCTGAATGTCCTTGTGACCCCCCGGAGCTGCTGGAGACAGGTGCAGAATGTACAGCCTCCAACTCCCTGGGCTTAAATACCACCAATATCATCCTCAAGCTGGGTGAGAGCTGCCTCCCTGCAGAGGACCCGCAGGGGCATGCCCAGGCACGGGCATTAACGTGCGCTTCTACTAAACCCCCCCCCCCCTCTGCCTCCTAGTCACTTTAACCACCCTCACACCTGACTTCAGCCAAACCACTGGCCTCAGCACCTCCACAGTCAGTCCTCACACAAGAGCCAACAGCACCTCCACAGGTAAGCCAGGCCTGGCAAAGAACAGGCCTGTGCCAGGGTGCCCATTCTGCCCTGTCGAGAAACGTAACAGCAGCCCATCTGTCACCCTGGGCTGGATAGGGTGGGGCAGCAACAGCAGTGTGGCGGCCTGGGGCAGGGAGTGACTACAAGTGTCTTTGTCGGACAGAGAAAAAGCTGCCGCCGCCAGAGAGTCAAAGGTGTCGTCATTGTGGCTGTGATCGTGTGTATCTTGGTCCTTGCTGTACTGGGCGCTACCCTCTATTTCTTCTACAAGAAGGGCAAACTGCCATGTGGACGCTCAGGAAAACAAGAGATGTAAGCCAGGCTCATGGCCCCTCCTCCCTCCCCATTTTCGGCTGCCCAGCTTGCTACCTCCTAGGGGGCCTCCCCTGCCTACCTAGTGCCCACTTACCCTTGAGAGCAGAAACTGGACCTTTTTTTTACTGCCCACTGCCCAACTTCCATCAACCACATCTCCTTGCATTCTCCCTTCCTGAGCTGGCCCCGGAGTCCATAGGGTATCCATCCCACAAGGCCCTCCCCTTCCCTTGGCCCCAAGTTGCCAACCTCTCACCTCCCTCCTCCCAGCACGCTGCCCCCGACTCGTAAGAGTGAATTTGTAGTTGAAGTTAAGTCAGATAAGCTCCCAGAAGAGATGGCTCTCCTACAGGGCGGCAGCGGCGGTGACAAGAGGGCTCCAGGAGACCAGGTAGGAGGCAGCTCCTGAGGCCAGGGCCTGACCCCACCCCCTTCAGGAACTGGGGGAAGTGGGCTAATGGTACCTGTTCCCACACACTAACTCTTTCTGTCCTTCCTCCTTGGTTAGAGATGGGGAGCAGGCCCATCCTGCCTTCAATTACTGACACTGGCAGGCCAGGCGAGTGGTGGAGGGACCCTGGAGAGACAGAGAAGCCCCACCTTACCTTCTCTAAAAGTGTAGTATCTCTCCTACTGCAGACTCAGCTGGGGGACTTCTGTCTCTTCTCGTCCCTCCCCACTTCTGCTGGTCGCCTCAAGGCTGCTGCAGATTCACCAGCTCTGCTCCCCGCCCTCCTGGTGCTCAGGCTGTGAACCTGCCTGTTCCTCATGTTCTGGTTCCTTCTCTCTACCCATTCTCAGGGAGAGAAATACATCGATCTGAGGCATTAGCTGACTCACCAAAGTTTCCTGCTCCCTGCTCAGTCTTCACCCCAAGCTAAAGCCTCCAGAGGGACAGCAGGGAAGACCCCTACTCAGGTCCCCTACAGACCAGGTCCAGAGAGCCGAGAGTTGGGACAAGAGCCATTTGGAAGATCTCATTTGGCCACGGAGGCCTGGTTTTGGAGACCAAGTCCTCCTCTGTGTCCACTGAGTGATGCTTATCCCAAGTGACTGGGGGCCTCAGTCTCCCAGGAGTGGGGAGGGTTATTTTATTTTTATTTTTTTTCATTTTTCGAGACAGGGTTTCTCTGTGTAGGCTTGGTGCCTGTCCTGGATCTCATTCTGTAGACCAGGCTGGCCTTGAACTCACACAGATCTGCCTGTCTCTGCCTCCTGAGTGCTGGGATTAAAGGCATGCTCCTCCACCACCTGGCTATTTTTTTTTTCCTTTTCCCTCACACAGCCAGTGGTTGCAGATCCATCTCCTGACATCAGCTGAGTGGGCTTGCCCTCTGAGCAGGTGTTCTCTCCTCACAGGCTGTCTTTGTGCTAGTTGTATCATGTGATCCGGGACCTGGGCATGTGGTCACATACACTGTTCACACTGGTCCTTCAGAGAACCCCACAGTCCAGAGGCAGCTGCAGCACTGCTTCTGGACTTTCCTGCCTGCTGCTCTTTCAGGGTCTTTTGGGATATTTTTCCTTTGGGCAGAAGTCAGGGATTGGTGGTAATCCTTCAGACATATCCCTGAGTAAGGAAGCACTGTTCTGTTTGTTGTGTGTTTTGGAGTGAAGACTACTTACTGAGCCCAAGCTTCCTGCATTCCCTCGGTGGATAATGGGAGACTGAAAGATAAGAGATGGGACAGAGAGGAGGTCTACTGTTCATGGGGATTAAGCTTAGAGGTATATTAGTACCAAATTTCTACATGGGAGCTTATGGGTCCAGATCTGAAGAGTCCAAGTGGGAGAATGGTACTTAGAAATGAAAACTTGGCCTGGCAAGAGCTTTTGGGGGTATGTGTGCATCTGTGAGTGTGTGTGTGTGTACATACATACATACATACATACATATATATATATATGGTTTTGTCTGTAAATTTGCAAATGTTTCCTTTTATATGTTATGTATGTTAGAAAAATAAAGTGTTATTGTCCCAAAAGCATGATGCTGCTTTCCATTCATCATGGATGATAGGCTCTCAGAAGACTGTCCCTTTACCTCTAGAGCATCCAGAGCTGAGCAGCATGCTGCTAACTGGCAGCTACCCCCCTCCCCCACTCCTATCCCCTCCACCACTGCCATTAGTCTCAAATCTGCCCTCCCTGTGTATTACCCCCCAGCCCCAGACGAGCCAGAACCCAAGTGTGCTACAACAAAAGAAATTTTATTTAAAAATATTTTTTTTACAGACATGGGTGCTTGAAAAAGCTCTTTAGTTAACTGTATGGAAATGAAAAAAATTAATAAATAACATTAGTATAACAGACCTCTAATTAGTATAACAGACCTCTACACATCAGTACACTGGCAAAACAACATGGACTTGAGAGAATTGAGTCTTAAAGCTCTACTACTCTGCAGGAGTATTTACCTCTGTCTGCTCTTTATAGGAGAGTGATTGATTAAATACTGCTAATAGAAATCTTTTTATATTAATGACATTTAAAAAATAGTCCACGAGAATCTCACCTAAGTGTGTTTTGTTCTCTTAACACTGATATACAAATTGGGACTCTATTCTGGGGAAAATGTCAAGTTCTCTCTTGCCCCACCCAAGTCAAGAATTTTAAGATCTTGAATGAGGAGGAACTTAAGAACTATTTCTATCCCCTACTCTTTGTTAGCTACAGGCAGGGGGGAAACAGGGAAAGGGAGGTAAGACAACTTGGGGTTGAAACCTGTGATAATCGTATTAGTGAAAGGCTTCCGGGTCCCACGGCCCCTCCCTGGGTGCAAGCAGACACTCTGGAGGGGGGGGTACCAGCCACTTACTGCTTTAAGGTTGGAGCCTTCAAATGAAAGCCACGTCTGAGGAGAGGCAGGAGGTTGAAGCTGGCTCAAGATCCAGCAAAATGAAAAGACAACAAATGAACCATCTCCCCTTCCCGGGAGAGTCCCTCTCAGCTCCACTCGGCAGGGCACTGCTACCAGGAGGCTTCGTGAGCAGGACATCTAGAGCAGAGGACCACTAACGGCTGCTTGGACCAACCAAGTGATGCCAGGAGAAAATGCTGCTCTTTTCCAATGAAGCCTCCTGGCAGAGGAAGGAGACTACAGGCACCTATGTGCCACCTCTCCAGCCAGACATCCTTGTCCCCAAGACTCTAGGGCTAAAGATACTCAAGGTAGAGGAGCTCAGACTCTGGTATTTCCATATTAAGTCCTAAAATGCAGCCTGGGATACAGTGCTGCCTTAGAAAGGCACAAAACATTTGGCTTTTTTTTTTTCAGTGTGCTAAAAATTGTTTTGTTTTGAATAAAGGAAAAAGATATATAAGGTTAAAAATCCCAAGTCAGCACAGCCAGAAAGCAGATGTAGGAGGTACCTTACAGCTGCCATGCCCAGCATGTCTCAGCAGAGGTCAGACTTCCCACGTAAGGGTGCTGAGGAGGCGGTCAGAGGCCAGCCCCTCTCCTGTGCATTGCAGGCAGGCTCACTAGCCCAGAGAGCAGGGGAGAGGCCGAGAGAGAGCTCAGGGTCTGTCATCCTCTTACCACTTCAAGACAGCCAACATGGTCACCCTCTCCACCACTGGGTGAGAGGTAGTGGGGAAGGAGCAACACAGGCACCACACACCCCACTTCCGGGCCTATGTGAGGAGGCAGTGTGAGCCTGAGGAGCTGTACACAGCATGCACTGAGCAATCTTCTCTGGCCTCCATTCTGTTTTAGAGGGAAGGAAAATTGGAGTTTGCATCTCACATTCAGTTGTGGGACTGAATCAGGACTGCAGGGCCAGGTGATCACAACTCAGGGCTGATTTGTTCAGCTGCCAAATCAGTAGATCTGAGGCTGGCGCTCAGCCTGGGCTCTGTACAAGACAAGGAGTGGTCAGCCACATTTTTCTCAAGCACTAAAACAGGGAAGAGGCTGCAAGATCTCCAAGCAGCTGTTGGTCGGCAGCTGGCCCTTCCCCATGGTGCTCTTCATCAGGCACAAAACAATGTGTAGGGCCCTCCCTGTCCCTATTTCTCCATCTCTTAAGTCTTGTGCTACTTACTAGAACCAAGAAACACCGGTACTTTGCCTTGCAACTAACCCAGATTTCCTGGGACACTGAAGGCACATGGCACTACTATCCCTCTCATCTTCATTCAGGAGCCTAGACTAGACATCAAATGCAAAATCTGATGATCTGCTCTTGCCCTTCCTATGTGCCTCAATGTGTATCTTTGGATTAGTAGGTTACTTCTGTGTATACCAAAGGACTTGAATATTTAGAAGTTAAAAGCAGGGTAGTATGTATGATATGCCTTAAAACACAGGGCAGGCTCTAAGATGGGATTCCAAAGATCCAGGCAAGCAGAAGCATCGTTTTACTCCCCCCACCCCCACCCCAACAACAACAAAACAACCCAACCCAAACAAACAAAACCCACACACTTATTACAGGACCAGAGAAAAAGCAACAGACAGGGAGGACACAGGTAGCTTGTGGAAGGAGCTCACAGAACAAGCTAATTAGACACAGGAAATATCTGGATCCTGGCAAATGTCTCAATGGCGCCTAGGAAAGCAGAGCTAGGAACGTCACTGCAGGCTCCCTCACAGAAAGACAAACAAAGAAGAGGGATGTAGGAGACTGGTCAAGAGCCCAGAGAGTGAACAGGTATTCAGCACTAAAACCAGAAGAGAGCCAAGCCGAAAGGCAGCAGCTACAGCGGAGGCTAAGAGCTGCACTTTAAGGAACACGGAAGAGGACTGGAGGGTGAATGGAGGCTACGAAATGCCACCCAAGAACAGACTAGGGGAAAGTAATCTTGGGTGCCAAGACTCTAAGGAGAACAAAAGGAAAGATAATAGTGACTCTGAGTAAGTTAAAAATAGGGATTTCCAGCTGGGTGGTGGTGGTGCCAGTGATGGCACACGCTTTTAATCCCAATACTCCAGAGGCAGAGGCAGGGGGATCTCTGAGTTCAAGGCCAGCCTGATCTCCAGAGCGAGTTCCAGGACAGCCAGGGCTATACAGAGGAACCTTGTACTCGAAAAGCCAACAAAAGGCAGGGAGCAGGGGGTATTTCTTCAACTTCCCAGATGAATAGCAGAACAGAAACTATGCAACTGTGCTTCCAGTGTGGAAGTTCCTTTGCATATCTCTTCTTGGAAGCTCTCAATCTGCCACAATATCTCTGTTCTCCCTGTAAGGTTCAATGGGGGTATGAACCCTCAAATCAGTATTTTCGCTGAGTGTATTCTGCCTTAAGAATATAACCTAAGTATTACTGTCTTCTGCTCCTCGACTGCAGGCACAGTGTGACCAGGTACCTCATGTTCCTGCCTCCATGACTTTCCCACAATGAAAGATTACACCTTCAAACTGTCAGACATAAAGAAAACTACAGCGGAAGAACCCAAAGGCCCCTTGGCAGTGAAACCACTCCATCAGTAATTCGCACTTGAAGAGAGCATCTCCACTCATGCACCAAATGGTGTTGCTGCTTTCCCTGTTGCTGGAAATGAAGAGGAGAAAATATTCTCCATGAACATACAAGACATTCATAGAGTCCAGTCTCGCCTTCACCTTGCAATGTATCTGAGGCTGGCCTAAAATTCCTAATTCTACTTCGACCTTTCAAGAGCTGAAAGACAGGCTTGTTCCATGAGTTCTAGCTTGGCCAACAGATCCCCTCAAGAGATACGGCCCAGTACAGACTCCCTCGGGGTGCCTGGTCTGGCCCATGGAATCAGTAGACAGGTTTAACTTTCTCCCATTCTTTCCAAGAATTATTGAGCTAATCTGAAGAACCACATTCACTGTAAGAAGATCAAGTGAACTCAAGAACAAGGGTATCTATTTTGAAGTCATGTATACCAATATGCTGTGAAGCAGGAGGGACTATGTCTAACTTTTCCAGCCCAGTAATACACAAGAACCAAGTCTCCCATGCATTAAATGGCTGTGTGTGTGTGTGTGTGTGTGTGTGTGTGTGTGTGTGACTGCTATCACAGTTGAATCCAGATGCTCTGTGTAGTGCTAGGGTACTTCTGCTGAATTGTGAAGCTTCAAGTGCCAGATGATAGTGTTGGCAGTTAGGCTCTGGTACCTATCATAAGCTGCCTGCTCTGGGAAGGCTTATGTGGACAGAATCCAGCCTCAGTTCCTGACCAGCTCCTACAAGACCAGACTGAGAATCAGGTCCTCACCCTTTCCAACCCTTCCACCTCTCCTAAGACAGAATTAGCCACAAGGATTGTTGAAGAAAAGAAAAACAAATTCCAAATTGTAAGGGAGATGGTAATAGGTCCCAGAAGGGTAAAAACAAAACCTTTCCAACAAGGAGGACTGGGGACAAAAGCAGCTCAGTAAAAAGATAAAGAAGGCACTGGATTGGAAAGCAGACTGCAGCAAAAGCTTTGCTTAAACACTGTGCAACTCTCAGTCAGTGGACCCTCAACCCACTGAAGAGTTTAAGGAATCTGTAGCAAAAAAGGATAATCCATGAGGTATACACAAGAGAATCTTCCAAATATTATCAAAGCTACAGGAAGACAACAGGGGTTCACAGGAAAGTCTTGGGCCAATTTTAAGCAGGACAGCTCTATAATGAAAGGTAACTCTACATAAAAGAGTTGTGAATACACACATGTATGGTCAAATGCAAACAGTGTTAAGGACAGCCCATGGTTAACTTCCCAACACCAGTAAATCACCATGAGGTGGCAGGGAAGAACATATAGCTGACATTTCTGACACATAGCAATCACTCCAATATTTGCAGAAATTAGCAAATGGTTATAGTCAGGACAGTGGTTAGAATATTCTATTTAGTGGAGTGATCATTCCAGAGTCAGAAAGGCCAACAGAAAGAAGGAAAGTCTGAGAAGGCCAGCAGCCTTCTGATTCTCATGATGTGAGGTAGGAGAACATTCAGCATTAACACCATTGCTGATCATCACAGAAAGACTAAATCCTGTTAATGGTGCCATAAAAGAAATACACAGCTGGTCCTTGGTTTGGTCTGCAAGCAAGTTATATTACAAAAATTAACTTGTAAATTTGCTACTTGGACCATAAAACACATTTTCTTTCCCACAGAGGAAATAAATATTTTAAATATTAAGAATAGTGACTCCTATCCATCCCAGATGCCCTCCCCAGTTTAAAAAAACCCACAGAACAGCTGAAGGATGCCAGTACTACTATCACACACTGTGGTCCAGTGACAGGTATGTCTGAGAATTGAAAGAGAAAGAAAATGGGGTGGGGCGGGGAGGAGGAAGAGGGGAATAAGTGAAGGAGAATGGTCAGCTAGGGTCAATTCACTGCTTAAATAAATACTAACATACAAAGGCTGAGATCATGAGCTGCCCAGTTTGTTAACTAGGAGGTATATTTCAGAACCCACAGGTTTTTAAAGACATTTAAAAAGCTTTTCACTTTAGAAGGACAGTGGGAGGGCAGCTAGAAAAGTCTAGTCCTGGGACTGGACTAGAAAAGCCTTGCCTGGAGCCCTGGCAAGACAGTGACCCATCAATGAGGTGGCATGTAAAGCAATCCACAAAGACACAGAGGGAGCAATAATCTTTGTTGAATAAGACGGCCTAATGAAGTTGAGGAAAAGGAAAATGTTAAAGCTGTTTTCTTAACTGTAACACAGAGCGGGGGAAAAGGGATGGGTTTGCCAAAAATAGCAAAACTCAAAATAAAGCTTGTTTACGAAAGGGCGATTGTAGGTAAACTCAGAAGAAGAGCCAAAGAATTAGAACTTACCATACAAATGGAAAATGAAGAATTGGTTATTGGTGCCTTCAAAGGAAAAAGAAATTCAAATTTGGAGACTATCTTCAAAATGAGTGGCATGAAACCTTCCTAAGGCTACCTAATAATATCAGGCCCGGGCCCCAGAATATCCTGAGAGCAAAGGAAAGGCCTACACACAATGGTCTGAAACCTTGATGCCTGCAGATACACATCTGATAAACCAACACCCACGCTAATCAAAGATGTGTCTGCCCAGCATAGGGACTTAACAGCCACTCACCCCCACTCAACACCCATTTCAGAGCTACATGGGTGCCCAGCTAAGGGCAGGACAAAACTTTCATTTCCCTAGATAGTATGGGCAGTAATTGCCACAGATTTGGTTTTTGTTTTCTTTTGGAGGCAGGGTTTCATGTAGCCCAGGCTAGTTTCAAACTTGCTATGTAGGCAAGAGTGGCCTTGAGCTTCTAATTCTGTCTCCACCCTCTTGAGTGCTAGGGATTCAAGGTATGCCTCAGCACAATCTGTTCTATGTGGTGTGGGACTGAACCAGGGCTTTGTGAATGCTAGACAAGCACTCTACCAACTGAGCTACATCCTTAGCCCTCCACAGAAGACTTGGATACACAGAAAAGGCAAAAGGTAGGTAGTCAATGATTTGTTTTCTTGATAGATCTTCAGATAGTAGCTATTATCTGCAGGGAAAGAAACACTCCAATAGAGACAGACTGGGCCTGTAGCTTTTTCCTAGTTCTGTTGAGGTCTTCAAATTTTTGTTTTCTTTTGTTTTTAAATACGTTTTTAAAAATTTATTTAATTTTATGTATATGAATGTTCTGTTTGCATGTATGTATGCACACCGTGTGTGTGCCTGGTGCCCACAGAGGTCAGAAGAGGGCATCAGATCTCTCTAGATCTGGAGTGACAGATGGTTGTGAGCTGCCATGTAGCTGCGAGGAACCCAACTTGGGTCCTCTGCAAGAACAAATGCTCTTAACCGATCAGCCATCTCTTCAACCCCTGTTGTTTGTTTTGAGTAGCTTTGAGCTGGCACTGAACTCCTGATCATCTTGCCACCATCTCCCAAGTGCTGAGATTACAGGCACATGTCAACATGCCTGGTTTAGGCTTTCAATATTCAAAGAAACACAAAATTGGATGTCACAAGCTTTTTGAAGTGGATGATAAGCTATTGTTTCCTACTTACTGCTATGCAGAGGAGTCACTGGGTAACCATGGCAAGTCAATATGAAGTACTGTAATGTCTACCCTGGGAACAGAAATAGCTCTGAGGCAAGAGGATAAAACCCGAAGACCTTGAAGCATTCAGAAACCAAAAGAGACTTCAAAAGGTTTTACCTGCAAAAATGTTAAGAATTGTTAAGAATGGAAAGAAAGTGTACTCTTAGTGGGTCATTTCTGTCTGGACCTAAAGAATAGAGTGGATTCATTAGAAAAACAGCTTGCATGCGACAGGAGAAAGGGTAAATGCTGCCAGGGAAGTCAGCAAGACTCCAGTCAGAGAACTCATTGAACCCAAGGGGTCATAACAGGGACTGAGAAGCAGGTCTCCAAACTGACTCCAAATCTTGATGAACTGTAAATACACCAACTACATTGTCCCAAATTGTCTTTGACTAAAAGATTTCAATGAATGATGTGAATACTGTGGATAATGCAGTGATTAGATTATATCTAGGACCCAATAAGAGGGCAAGGAAGGAGAAAGAGAAACCACTCCCAAAGCCCTAGGCACATGAGCAATCAAGTCACTGGGTGACACCAATGTAGGAAAGGCGCCACTCATTAGCAAATGCTGTAAGGTAATTAGGGTTATCCTGCTGTGGGATGGTCTGTATGTCAAATGTGTTGCTGATTGGTCAATGAATAAATCATTGATTGGCAGTGGCCAGGCAGGAAGTATAGGCGGGACTAACAGAGAGGAAAATTGAGAGAACAGGAAGCTGGAGAGGGAGACACGGCCAGCCGCCATCAGGATAAGGAAGATGTAAAGTACCGGTAAGCCACAAGCCAGGTGGCAAGGTATAGATTAATAGAAATGGATTAATTTAAGCTGTAAGAACAGTTAGCAAGAAGCCTGCCACGGCCATACAGTTTGAAACCAATATAAGTCTCTGTGTTTATTTGATTGGGTTTAAGCGGCTTGGGACTGGCGGGTGAGAGAGATTTGTCCTGACTGTGGGCCAGGCAGGAAAACTCTAGCAACATTATCCCTACTCCTTAGAGGGCAAAGAAAGAAATCATTTCTGAAAGGTTAACCTCCCTCCTGTTCAAGGGAGAAATCCCTAAGCTGAAATTAACCACTGGCAAGAAAGACTGAATAGGTAAGTCCTTACTGGTTTACTGTGTAAATCTAAACAGTATGTGACTGAAGCTTCCTAAAAGCTCCATGGTATTTGGGCTGCAAAGCTACCCTGGAAACAAATGTTCTTCTGTTCCTGTTAGGTAGAAAGACTCATGACCTACATCAAAAACACATACCTGGCACCAAGGCAACAGACTCCCACAGACTATTTTCTGGGGAAGACACGGAATGTATATGAAGGCCTCTATCTCAAACCAGTCATTAGGTAATTAGGAGAATTCAAACATCTTATTTTAACAAATTCAAGGTTCCTATAGAAACAGCACTTTGGAGTCACCAGTGTTAGCTGCTAGCACAATCATAACTGTAACCACAGAATAGTACCTTCCCACCTATTCTACCAAACAAACCAACACCATCAGACATAAAAGAACATCCTGTAAGTTGCTTGGCTTCAGGTCACAGCAAGCCTACAGAACACCAATGAGGAGAGGGCAGAGTAAGGTGTCTCCAGGGGAAAGGACAGAGGGTATCCTAACACTCTAAGACTTAGCTAAGCACATGATAATCTAGGCCAGAGGGGAGTGTTGAGGTTGTAACATCCAGCAGGGCTAGGTGCAATACCACAGTAGATGGGAGCCTTCAGAGATTCCTTCCTGACGCTCTTGTGCTAACTCCCTGCCTGGATTCACACACAGCAGGATAATCTTATAATCATAGGACACAGACAGACAGACAGACACACACACACACACCCTTAATAACAAAGTCTTAAGTCCTTAACTAGGGCTACAGCACAGCACTTCTGCTTTCTGTACTGTTCCAGGGGTAGGTTATCATTTAATAAACTCCATTCTCTCCTAATGGGGACTGAAGGACTACAAACAGACTTTTAAGACCAATCCAACAGTGAAACACACCAGGTGCTCCATTTTCGTTCCACTGCTTTGAAATCTTGGAACCATGGGTGTCAATACCCACAGAAAAGGCAGGACCTCGCTGTGATGTCCCAAAAGAAGCCACTGCTTTCCTAGGTGCTCCTTGAGTAAGAGCCCAGCTCATGGATCCTCTGAAGCCATGGCAGGAAGAGATGTGCTAGGTAGCTACATGGGCAGGAGAAGAAATGGAAACAAATTCCCGGAGGATGTTTTTGGCCATCTCAATGTTGTTGTGGGCAATGACCAAAGCTTTCTGAATGTCCTGGTAGGAGTAGCCCTGACTCATGAGGCGCTCAATCTCACTGGAGAGCTGTGGTGAGGGGACGATGGCAGCAGGGTTAGCGGGGGCCCCTCCACCTTGCTGATAGCTACTTGCTTTGCGTTCAGAGTTGATTCTCCGAGGGAATGGTTTAGGGGGCCGCTCAGGAACTTGGGAACCCTCATTGAAATCTAAAAGAGAAAGGAAAGAAAATATTCGCAAATCTCGGGAAGTTCGAATTTAATGGCACTAACAATAACAATGTGCTAATAATATGCTCTTTTGTCACAAGGCTGGAGTTCTGTTTTTTGTTTGTTTTGAAACAGGAGCTCACTCTATAGCCCAGATTGGACTTGAACTCACAGCTTAGTCTCCTGAGTGCTGAGATTACAGTAGTGAGCTACCTACCATGCCTAGCACAAGTCTGGGTTTTATTTGCGGTGCTAGCACTGAACTCAGGGCTATATACACAGTAGGTAAAGGGTTCTGCTGCTGAGCTAGATCATCAGACTAAAAGCTGGGTTTTAGATCTAGACTCTTATCACAGAGTGAAGAACCTTCTAAATATGTCATGCCCCCATTCTTGTAACAGTAATTACGACTCTGAGAAGCATATAACACCTACACTGTGTGTTATACTTAGCAACAAGTTTACACACTAACTAAATTATTCCTTCTACAAATAATACAACCTAAACTGCAAAGAAGAAGTAATAAGCCAGATTGGGTGGTGATCCTACCTAGAAGGGCAGCTAGATGTTAGATCTTTTCTATCAGCTGTTCTGAAAGTTGTCTTCAATTTCCAAAGTGACAGCTATTCTGGCTGCTTCCCTACGAGGCGGCCACAGGTGCAAGAGCAGTCCTGGATACCAGAGACCAATGTGGGGGGCCCTGGGCCCATAAAATATGTATTTGAGGGCAGCACACTCCTTCCCAGTTGGACAGGGCTTATGGGGGAAAAAAAAAAAAAGAACTTCCATCAAGCCTAATTCTCCCATCGTTACATACATACTCAGAAGAGCTAGAAGCCCTGCGCTCCTCTACAGGAGGAGCTGTGGTTTAAACACCACCTACAGAGTTTCACTTCCTAATGTGGGACCTAGGACCAGCTTTTCAACATTTAGATACAGTGCAGTCTGCTACATCCACTCACTGACTTCCTACCACCAGAGGGTCATGACTTTCAGTTATAAATAGAGGCCAGACAGCAATCCAGGACAGGTAGGCATCCTGCAGACTCACTTGTCGTAGGGTCACCATCCAGAGACAGCCAGCCAAAGGAGGAACTGGCATTAGAGATGTCAGACAGAGTCCGGCGAGCCAATACAGCCGGCACAGGCGGCTTAGGCACATCATACCCATCATCCTCGTTTTCTGATTCCTCAGGGCCAGTGCTGGTGTGGGCTGTAGCCAAATTCCCTTCCCCTGGAAGAAAGTTGGTATACGCTTTGTCCTCTCCTGACATACTTCATCCAGAGGCATCCATTCATTCACCCATGTATACAACCATTCATTTCATTCACCAGTTACTCAAATGTCTACTGTAGACTAAATACAACTTGAGGCCCTGTGGATGGAGATAAAATAAAACCAGCTCTCTCGTTGAACATGTCAACAGTCATTCTTGCTAAGGCTAATAGCTGCTGATGCCACAGACTCAAGTGTTATTTTAGAGCTTCCTATCTGCATTTCACCTGAGAAGATTGGCCAAAGGACTTGTGTATGCAGGCTTCTTGAACTTTCACCTTGATAAAACTGTTTAACATGGGAATTGAGTATTTACCACTCACACACAAAAGAACTATCAATGTAATGGAAATAAAAGAGTTGCTAGTACTGAGATCCAGGCTATATAACACAGATGTCTCCAGGCCCTGAGAGCAGGAAAAACAGTTAGGAACTAGTGTCTAAAAAGGAAATAAAGCAAAGCAGGGCCCATCTTGCACAAGATCAAAGACTTTTTGCCAAAGAGTACTGAGAGTAATTTTCTGTTAGGGTAAACTGTCTCAACCAAATGTTACAGAGCATCCCTTTGGTTTTCTTCTCTTTATTCTTGAGACAGGGTCTTAGTTATGTAGGCTAGCCTGGCCTCAAACTTGCAATCCTTTTGCCTCAGACTCCCAAGTATTAAAATTACAGACAGGTGCTGTACACAAGCATATCAATTTTGAAGTAGAAGACAAGTACTCACCAAAGGCACTGTTTTCCGTCACAGACAGTGCTTGGGACTGAATGTTATACATTGCTTCATACGTGCAGCTGTCAGTCTGCTGGTCACAGTCACATGCTCTGAACCACAAAGAGGCACAATGGTCTTCACAAACAAAATTGGTATTTGCAAACTTAAGAAGACTAACCTGCTTCTAACTACCCTGACCCTAATCCTTTCAGAACATATTCTTTTTGTACCAGTACCATTAATAAACACTGTGAGACTGACTCATGACAAGCTAAAGGTGTACATGTTCTGGAAGTCACTATGCTACTGTGCAAACAATGCAACTGCTTATTGACATTAGAGATGTAAACATTTCAGGGTCTGGATTTTTCCTTCTGCTTTCATTCTGACTAGATAATGGTATGTACAATAAGAAAGCGAGCAGGTGGAAAACAGTAAGTGAATTATCTGAGTAAATATACTTGGCTACAACTGGGGTTGTTGTGAGCGTACCGTGAACTCTGGGTTGACTCTAAAGGCCGTTTGGGCTCTGGCTTCTGAGCCCCTACAGGCCTAGATGTGGGAGTCATATACTCTGTGTCCTCTTCACTTTCCCCCTGCTCCCCAGGTGGCAGTTTTGGCACAGGAAGAGGCCTGGAAGAATAAAAAAAAATAAAGGTTGGAAAACTTTCAAGTATGAAACAGATTTAGAACTGATACAACTTAATTTGACAAAACAAAATAAACAGCACCTAGGGCACTATCATTTCCACTGACCATGGCAAGTATTTAGGAAAACATGCACCAACTATAAACTTTACTTTCAGTTGATCCAAATGATAAACTGGGGTGGGCAGTAGGTTCCAGTTATCCTTAACTCACAATTAAGTTTTGTTACAGTGCTTCTGTTAGCATTCTTTTTCTTTTTCAAGACATAAAACAAGGAACAGCAGGTGGCTTTCTAACAGAATGCTAGCAATGTGCAGCAAATCCCAATACAAAAACCTGTCTATAATAGTGAGATTACACAGCTTGTCAAAAGTATTACTCTAAAGTATGATCTCTTTTTCTCTTCAATATTTCCTACAAGAAAAATCTAAAATAAAGAGATAAAAAGTAACCTGGTCGTTAGCATCTTAGATTAGTCCTTAACTTTTGACTCTTGATTCTTCCTTCCTTCCTTCCTTCCTTCCTTCCTTCCTTCCTTCCTTCCTTTTTTCGACAGTGCAGGAATCAAACCCAGGACCTTGCATATGCTAGACTGGCTACATCCCTGTGCCTCTACTTCAGGGATCTTGCTATTGCTGCGCATATTATGTAATTCTCACTGAGCTTTCTGCACTAAAACTTCTCAGGGGCTGGAGAGGTGGCTCAGTGGTTAAGAGCACTGGCTGCTCTTCCAGAGGATTGGAGTCCTATTCTCAGCAAGCACATAGCAGCTCACAACCATCTGTGACTCCAGTTTCAGAGGATCTGATTCCCTCTTTGGGTACATCTCCATGGGCACTGCCTGCACATAGTACACAGGCATATATATTCAGGTATCCACATAAAACAAAAACTTAAAATGAAACAAAAACTTCTGCAGTCCTACCTTATGAAAGGAGACTAAGTCAAAATACCAACTTTTTAAGAAACATGACCTCACCTCATGCTTCTTAGTATCTTTTTTTTTTGCATATTCTAAATAATCAACAAGAAGCACTAACACTTATTTGCCTCTCTGTATCTACATAATGCTTTCCTGATTATAAAAGTAGTACACATTTTTGCTTGTTTGTTGTTTTGTTTTTGTTTGTTTAGTACCCCTGGCTGGCTTGGAACTCACTCTGTAGACCAGGCTGGCCTCAAACTCAGAGATTCTCCTGCTTTTGTCTTCAGAGTGCTGGGATTAAAGGCATGTGCCACCATAGTACACATTTAAAAATCATGGCACAGAAACATAACAAAACCAAACTGATTCTTTTTGTTGTTGTTGTTTTGTTTTTCGAGACAGGGTTTCTCTGTGTAGCTTTGCGCCTTTCCTGGATCTTGCTCTGTAGACCAGGCTGGCCTCAAATTCACAGAGATCCGCCTGGCTCTGCCTCCCAAGTGTTGGGATGAAAGGCGTGTGCCGCCGCCGCCGCCGCCGCCGCCACCACCACCCGGCTAAAATTGATTCTTCAAAAAGATTAATAAAAATGGCAAGACTTAGCCAGGCGGTGGTGGCACACGCCTTTGATCCCAGCACTTGGGAGGCAGAGCCAGGTGGATCTCTGTGAGTTTGAGGCCCACCTGGACTACAGAGTGAGATCCAGGACAGGCTCCAAAGCTACACAGAGAAACCCTGTCTTGAAAAACCAAAAAAAAAAAAAAAAAAAAAAAAAGGCAAGACTCAGCAAGACTGACCTATACACACGTAGAAAGAAAAAAGAATGAAAAGAAAAATATTTCAAAACACAAAAATGACAGCACTCATAGGGCCAGAACGGGAGACTTGTGAGGTTACCTTTTGGTTTAAGATCATTTTTATTACTTTTAGTTATAATAAAACATGAGATATTTATGATTGTCTACAAATGGGTATGTGCACATGAGTGCAAGGGCCCAAGGAGGCCAGAGGCACTGGATCCCCTGGAACTGCAGTTACAGATGGTTGTGAAGCTCCGTGTGGGTGCTGGGAATCTAACTCGGGTCCTCTGGAAGAGCAGCAAGTAACTGAACAACTGAGCCACTGTCCAGCCACTGGTTTGTTTGGAAAAGGAGTTTTGCTAGCTTGTAAACTTGTAGCAATTCTACTGCCTTAGCCTCTCAGGTGCCAGATACAAGCATGCACCCACACACTCAGCTTAGAATTCTAAGTCTGAGGCCATCATTGTCTACCCAGGGAGGCCTTGTCTCATGAAAAAGAAATACCCACTGCACGGAATGAACACAGCTTTAATATGCTTACCTGGCAGCCAGAGAGTAAATGGCATTGGCAGATGAGGAAGGCTTGATTTTTGGGTGCTCACTCTCTGGACCTGCTATTGGACTGCTATTCATAGTCTGCAAAGTAAGAAAAGGTCTGAAAAGAACTCTTTCCCAACTACAGCTAAGTATCTCCTCTTACCAACCTACTGGGGAAAAAAAAAATCACAAGAATATTAACATAGCCACAGATCTCACAAACCCAAGGGTTATCACACTATGGATTCTGAAGGAATTTCAAGTGGAAGAGTCAGAGAAAAGAAAGCTAGGAAATACCTTATTCATTCTAACTCTAAAAACAGATGAAACAAAATTGGCTGTCTACTGGCATCAACTACACTACTACACCACACACACACACACTTTTCTGTTTTGTTTCGAGACAGGGTTTCTCTGTGTTAACAGCCCTTGTTGTCCTGGAACTTACTCTTAAAAAGCAACATGCTTTCACAAGTGTGTGTGTGTAGTGTGTATGTATTTTTTTTCTGAAGACTTTAATAATGTGTGTGAGTGTTTTGCCTGCATGTACATATGTATACCACATGTGTGCTTTGTTCCCTCAGAAGTCAGAAAAGGGCATTAGATATCTTGGAACTGAAATTATAGGAATTTGTAGGAGACCATGTGGGTTCTGGGAATTGAACCCAGGTCCTCTGCAGGAGCGGCAAGTGTTCTTATATGCTGAGCCTCTCTAGCCCCTCTTGTTTCTTTAAAATAATAATAATAATAAAGACATTTATTTATTGTGTGTGTGTAAAAGCCACAAGATAACTTTCAGTATTCTCTTCTCCTCCTTTATTACATGAGTTCCAGGGATCACACTTGAGTAGTTATCAGGCTTACCAACAAGTGTCTTTACCTACTGAGCCATAGTATCAGCTCTTGGGTCTTTCTCTCCTTTCTTTATTTGAGACAGAGTCTAATTGTGTAACCCTAACGGTTCTAGAACTTATTACGTAGACGAGGCTAGTCTTGAACTCAAGATCTACCTGCCTCTGCTTCCCAAATACTGGGATCACAGGTGTGCACCTGGGCTCCTTGGGTATTTCTTAAGCAGACCCCTTTCCAAATTCACTTCTTTCCACAACATTCTAGGAATCAAACTCAGATTGGAAGTGTCTTTATGCTGAGCCATCTCAGCTTTTGTTTACATACTTCTCCTAAGTAAGGAATTATGCTATCTTTGAATTCTACACAAAACCCACTGAATAACTTTGACTCAGAATCAGGCACAGTTGTGCATCCTTGTAATCTCAGCTACTTAAGGAAGCTGAGGCAAAAAGATCAAGAATTTGAGGCCAGCCTGGGATATAGACCAAAACTCTGTCAATAAAACAAAACACTTTTCCCCCACCCCAGACAGTCTCTCTACACAGCCCTGGCTGTCCTTGAACTCAGAGGTCCGAATGCCTCTGCCTCCCAAGTGCTGGGATGAAAAGTATTTACCACCATACCCAGTTCAACAGAACACTTTTGACCATAAAATGCCACCCACAGATACTACTAGGCTAAATGGTTTAAAATTTAGGACTCACCATGGAAGTATCCAGACTAAATGTGCTTCCAAGTCTAGGAACATCTCCTCTAGGTTCCATTTGTGAAGGCAATGAGAATGGAAGTGAGTGCCGATTGGTCAGTTCTCTTCCATTCCAAGGATCACTAGGGCTTGGGGTAGCTACTGGTACTTTCGGGATTGGCCGAGGCAACCATGAGTCCCCTGGGCGGCTAGAGGGGACAGGGGGCAGTTTGTCTCTAGATGGGCAATCGCCTGGTGTACAAGGCAGGGGCCGTCTCTGAGGCCGTGTTTCTGCTCCAGAGTAAGGCCGGTCTGGAGGGGGTGGTGGTGGAAGATCTCGAAGTGTAGGAGGTATTGGCAATGGTTTGTCTTTATGAAGGGAGCCAGAACCAGCCTATGGAAACAAGATGGAAACAAGTCAATCAAAACCACTTTTATACAAGAAAGGCCCAGCAAAGTGCAGAAATGGATAATGCTTTGCCTTGGAAGTAGTTCCCAAAACTGAAGTGCTGGCAGGACCAGATGCTCGCTGTTGTAGAAGGTCAAGTCTTGGTGGCACTGGAGGGAGGGAAGCTTGTGGGGCCATGGAGAATGGAGAGGAAGGCCTTTCCACCTAGAACCAAGGAGACGTACACAGGTTACTCCTGTCTAGGGAACAGCATCTTTCAGTCCTAAAGCTACATACAGCAGATACTACGTGATCACACAAACCTCTAAAATCACAAATACTTTTGGAATCCTGGACTATGTTTATATCACCATAAGAGGGCACTCTCAATCAGATAGCAGGCTACATAAAAGAGCCTACCTTACAATTTTAAAAATCACTACAACCCTCTTACTACCTTACAATTTTAAAAATCACTACAACCCTCTATCTCTTCACCTTAGGTAAATGTGCTTGCTGTGCAAGCCTGGCAACCCGAGATCGATCCTTGGAGTGCATATAAAGGTGGAAGAAGAGAGCTGACTCCACAAAGTTGTCCTCTAGGAGCTGGAGAGATGGCTTAGTGATTGAGAGCGCTGGCTGCTCTCAATTCCCAGCAACCACCTGGTGGCTTGCAACCATCTCTAGTGGGATCTGATGCCCTCTTCTGGCATAAAGGCGTGTGTGCAGGTAGAGAACTCATACATAAAATAAATAAATATTAAAAAAAAAAAAACCCCAAAACACAGTTGTCTTCTGACTTCTATAGGAATGCCACAGCACCCAGCCCCCATAGACAATCATGCACAAACACACATACAAATAACAATAATAAATAAAAAAATTTAAAGACAAAAGATTTATATGATCTGGAGGAAAAAAAAAGCATAGTAAGCAAAATTCCTAAAAACAACCAAAATATACAGGAAACACTGAAGAGACAAAGACAGACTGATTGAAGCCTCAAAAACCAGCTGAAAATTTAGCTTAACACTAGAACTAAATATCTTAAGTTATTTATCAAGCTAACTCTCACTCCATCAGTATCTAGTCCAGCACTTGCTGATTTCCCCTAAGACCTTCAAATCTATCGCTTCCCCTTTGTTCTACTCATTTATTTGAAACCTGACTTAACAATATTGTTAAACTTAGTAACAAGCTTCTTGAGCTGGGCACTATGGCACCCTTCACTTTCATAAGAAAATAAGGATGGGCAAACATGAAAACCGTGGATAAACGGCAAGAAAAGTGAGGAAGAGGGGGGACACCATGATTAGACGGCAAGAGTGAGGTCACTGCCGGGCAGTAGTGGTGCAAGCCTTTGATCCCAGCACTCGGAGGCAGAGACAGGTGGATCTACAGAGTTCAAGGCCAGCCTGGTCTACAGAGTGAGATCCAGGACAGGTACCAAAACTACAGAGAAACCCTGTCTCGAAAAACCAAAAAAGAATGAGGTCACCATGATACATAGTAAGAAGAGTGAGGTCACCATGATTAGTTGGCAAGAAGAGTGAGGACACAAAAGAGCAAAGCCACTAGAATCTAGAAGTCCTTGAAGCTTTTGTGATTTAGCACTGAGACGACTCACCTTTTTAA